GGGGGTCTTCTTGCAAAGCTCCAAGCGATCTTGTCTGGTCTTCACATGAGGAGGAGACGGGGGATAATCTTTGGCTTTGATGTGTGCACAAGGTCTGGGTGCCTGTGCGTATACGCGTGTGCATGCTTGGCGTGCGTGTGTGTGTGTGTGTGTCTTCGGTGCGTGGATAGCCACGGGAGGGAGGACACGCTGTTCTATCCATCAAAATGCCCGCATTGTGTTTTCACACGGCGGAGCAGCGAGCAGGGCCTGTAAAGCAGAGGACATGGCAGGCCCGATCAGCGCCAGGCAGCTGCTGGGATCAATAAGGGGCTGATGCGGGGGGCTCTGCGCGTCCTGAGAGCCGCCGTGGGCTCCGCTGGCTGGCTGCTGATAGCGGGGCCTGTCCAGATCCGGCGGGGCTGTGTTTTTCTGCTCGGGTATTTCGTTGGGATGCTGTGTTGATAATTCGTGTATTCCTCTAATGTTTTGGAGCGGAGATTGATGTGACTTAAGTGGGAGTGTAGGGAGGGTGGGGGGTATTTATTTCAGCTCTCAGAAAGTTTTAAAAAATCAACAGGCTGCACATATTATAACAGCAAACATTTGTTGTTGGTTTTTTTTTTGTCTACCTTAATGCTGGTAAGCTTCCATTGAGACCTAGACTTATTTTCATTAGAGAACAACAAAACATTAGCAAGAGGTACACACTATATATGCACTAAATCTGATAAAAGTGTGTGCAGAGACAGCAGTTGCCCTTTTTGAGTAATGTAGGAAGCCATGCAGTGCAAGTGAAGATTGATTTGTACATGAAAATAGCTTCTTTATTAGGTGCACCTATTCCGTTTCTTGATACCACAACTATCGTTTTTAGTTCTCACTCGGCAGCATCGATGCATACAGTGGCGAAGATAACTTGCTGAAGTTTAAACTGAGCACAGTTTAAAGTTGCTAAGAGCATGTCAAAAAACAACCGTGTTTTAACTGGATAATCGCAGAAAGTTGTCACTCGGTTGGGCTACAGCTGCAGACGACCACGCCAATTACCTCACACATGTCAGCTGAGAACAGGAAACTGAAGCTGCCTTTTGTCAAGGCTCAGACATTCCTCAAATATCCCTTTAAACCTGGTCTTTTCAAAATATCAAGCTGAGGATGATAAACATGACTCTGCTCTTACAAAAGTACAACTTCGCTAAAGTAATGTGGAAGATACCATTGTCCTGATGTGGCAAGAAAAGGACAGAAAAAGCTGTTTATTATCATCAGCCAACAGTAAATCAGATGTAAAGAAAAGTGAGCAAAAGCTACTTTATCTTAATTTATTTAATGTAGTTTGGCTGATTTGGAAATCTCTTTCCGACCAAAAAACAAGAATTATTCCTAAAAAATTTGTAGGCAAAAAACAAACAACTGCTTTCATATTTAAAGAACAAGAGGAAATATCTTTTTTTATTATTACTGAATGTTTATTTCTTTCTGTCTCTTGCACTTGCACACTCAGCCGCTCACACAGGAGCCCTAATTACAGACACGGTTCTCTGATCTGCTCCACGGTTGTGGTAATTAAAGCAGGACTCTCCTCCTGAGAGCTCGGGCGTCAGACAGAGCGGCACGCCGAGGCGCTGGGTGGTGCAGGGCTGAGCTCCCTGGTAGCGCTGTAGGTGAGACGCGAGGTGTGGTCGTGATCACAAGTAGCTGACAATGAGGCGTTCTTGTTGAGCTCGCAGCTGGGCGAACAAAAGATGCCGGAACGTTTGTGAAAGCGTCTTGGAAACGATGTGGACAAAAGAGCAAACGGTTCACCTGGTTTTCACATTTACTCCTTCAACGTTGTCACATTTTGTCACGTTGCAACAACAACTGTCAGTTTTCTGTATTTATGTATAAATGTGATAGACCAACACAAAAGTAGTGGTTAGTTTGGATCTGAAAAGTGTGGCAGACGTATCTTGTCAGACCTTTTAAAAACCAGGTTTCACAGCAATAATTATGGCTAATATGTGTTTTTTTTTTTTGGGGGGGGATTGGGGGTTCTTACAAAATAACTCAGACTGTCAGATTGGAAGAAAAGCATCCATGAAAACAAGTCAGAGACAGAAATCCTCAAAATGATTTAGATCTGTAGTTTGACTGAACCATTGCCAGCACATGATGATGATGATGATGAGGTTGATTGTTGTTTTGCTGGATATTTGCAATCGCTGTCCTGCTGGATGGCGTACTGTGCTCCCATTTGCTCCATCCTCCGTCTTTATCATTCTGCCTCTTTTTTTTTAGTTGGTTGTCTGTAACTATAAACTGATTTGCAGAGGATTCCAGCATTTTCTCCACACCTCATTGTGATTTGCTGCAACTTAGAGTGAAATGTGATGCCAGTAAGTCACATTTGTCATTAAAGTAAAGTACCGTTCAGTTCAGTACACTGTAGCATTTTGCATGTGGGGGAAAAAAACAACAACTCCTATCTCATCTTGCCAAAGCACTTCTTTCACGTGTTTGCTTTGTCATCTTATTGCAAACTGCAAAGCAACTTTCAGCAGTGGGGGCATTGCTGCCCTAATGATTGCCTTTATGTAAAGATTAGTTATCCTGTCCTCCACTGTGGATCTCTGCAGCTCCTCCAGAGGCACCATTTTATTTGGAGGGAGTTTCATAACCTGGATTTGTCCTCAACTTTTTATATCAATATTAAATCACACCCTGTTGACAGTTTAGGATTATCTACTACTTGGTTGGTTTCTGAAAGCAACACGTTGCACTTTTATTTGAGGGTGTCAGAGTAAGAGATTTGTACTAAAAATAATTTTAAAATAAACATGCATCAGTTTCCTTTCCGTTGATAATTGCTCAATACTTTGTACTCTCGTGTAACATAAGGTTAAAAAAAAAAGAAAAAAAAAGAAAAGAAACTGAAATTTATGGTTGTAACATGGCAAAATGTGGAAAACGTGCATAGGTGGGAATCCTCTTACATGCTGAATATGGAATAATTATTGATTATTAGTGTAAAAAAGCATCAAACATTTGTGTAACTTGCTTTTTCTTCTGCACAGAGAGAAGCCAATGTAAACTGAGCTGCCTCCCAGCTCTGTTCTCATTACACGCCTACTGTTGTCCTGCCGCGCCTGCTTTCCCTCAGCTCGTCCCCTCCGTCCTCTCACATTAGTGTTCAGAGAGAGTCCTGTCTGCACACCGCCGGTCAGGTAAGGCTCCGTTTGTAGAGGCTAATGTGTCATGATCCATGTTCTTGGCAGTACGGAGTCAGCAAAACAACTTGGAGTTGATTTTTGTTGTTGTTGTTGTTGTTGTTGTTGTTGTGTGCTCCTAGAGGCAGGAAAAGCATTCCTGTCTCAGACATTACGGACATAAATGTGGGCCTGTTTCCCTTTGAACCCCCGGGGTCACTCCGTGTTTATTTTGCATGTTCTGTGTTGCGTATCCACAGGTTTCTCTGTCGACATTTGTGTTGCATTGCCACGTTGAAACCTCTGTGTGGTGCTGTGGCTCCACAACTAATGTTGTTCAACATTTACAATAGAAAGGCGAATCGATAAAAATCTGTCAAGAGTATGAAAGCAGGGTGGGTTCCTGGAAAATTATAGATTCACAGAACAACTTTAAGAGCCATTTGCTTCGAGACAAATAAGCTAGGGCACGACGGCAGCTTCCCTTTGAAGGTCTCTTTCTTCTTCCTGCAGTTTTCTCCTGTGTTGGTGTCTTCTGATGGATGAATATGTCCACTACTAATAATATCGCCCAGGCCAGGAAACTGGTGGAGCAGCTGAGGATCGAGGCAGGAATTGAACGCATTAAGGTGATAATATCGGTCATCTGCTTTGTGTGTGGATCCTATATTTCCTCTCTCGTATTGCTATTTTTTTTGTTTGTTCCTTTTATGCACCACCACTTTAATTGAGCTTTATTGTTAAAGCTTAGTTGTGTTTTTTCACTATATACTTTTTTTTGTTTATAAAGTGTAGATTTCCATGAAATACTAAGCTTGAGTAAAATATGCGAATAAAACGAGGAAAAACCAAAAAACTCATACTTTCTTTTCATTTTTATGTCACCTAGTTGTTCCTCCATTTACAAAATCCATTCAGTAAACTAAACAATAACAAAACTGTCAAACTGAAAAAGCTTATTTTTGGTTCAAACAATTCATCTGACACCTTAACCAGCAGTCTACATAATTGTTGACCTTCATTATTACCTTTTTAAAAGTTGGGAGATTACTGATTAAGAACGTTATCCTGAAAAGTAATGATTTAGTAAGTTCTGCCTTCATTACTTCACGGTGAGAGTACTAAAGCTACTAGTATCACACCTGAATCTTTTTCTAAATACTGCCGTCATACATCACTCTAATCCCACCATCTTTTCACTGCTTTAAATTCAAAATTCCTAAATGGGCAGAACCCCTTATAAATATTTCTGAATTTCAAAATTACTTTAAAAGTTTTTTTTCTTCATTTTCTCAAGATTTAGTCAGAGACTAAAAGGAGAACGAGTGTTGTAGTTGCCAACCCACCTCTGTGGAGGCAGCTCCCACTTCATACCAAATATTCTCCTTTCTCTCCTCTGTCTAGGTCTCAGATTAAATATTTCCCAAATTATTGGTTTTGCTTCTTGTGGTCTGATTTTTATGTTGCTTGTTTTTTGGGTGGGGGTTTTTTGGTGATTGCTGGTTGAAGCTTGATTTTATTTTTCAAGCGTTTCTTTTTTAATTCCTAAAGATAATTGTAGTTAAACATGCAATTATGTGGTGTCATCAGAGGAATGCACTTCTTTTTAGAAAGTTAAATATTATCTTGATAAATACATGATTTAAACAAAATAACAAAACAGATAGAAACAAAATATCACAACATGCTCTAGAGGTGATAAAACGAGTCTTGTAGCTTTAATTTTGTTCATCATTTGTATTTCTTCTTTCCCTCACTCTTGTCGTTTTTCTTTCCTCTCCCTCTATTTTTTTCTGAACCCCTCTTCCCGTCCGTCCCCCCAGGTTTCTAAAGCAGCGGCGGATCTGATGAGCTACTGTGAGCAGCACGCTCGAAGCGACCCCCTGCTGGTTGGCGTGCCCACCTCTGAAAACCCTTTCAAGGACAAGAAGCCTTGCATCATCCTATAGCTTCACACGTGCTTTTTCTTTTGCCCTCACACACACACGCATACACACACAACAGATTCTCCTATTCACATAGGCTCACACATAAAAGTTGACTTTTGCAATCAAAATAGGCCCCCACCCATCCTTAGACGCCAAGAAACCCCAGCTGGCGTTTGGGGGTTACACACGCAGTCGCTCCAAATTTAGCCACTAAGAAACAGTGCCACAATCCAGAACCACCACTAGGGGGCAGGTATCTTGTCCTCAGAGCTTCTGAGATGAGTTAAGCATAGAGTATGGTCCAAGGTGCTCGGTATTATTCCCATATGCTGGTGAATTAACAACCACTTAACTTGAAAAGGGATTTCTGACATTTAACAATTGGTAGGAAGCCCGTTTCTTTTCCACCGCCGGTCATGAAACGAGGCGTCGGGTAAATGATGGGCAGCTGCTGCACAGGCAGGCAGTGGGAAGAAGCATGTGGGCAACACAAATAAGTGGTGGGCGCAAGGCCGACCGTGCCAAACACGACCCAGGGTCGCATCGAAAAGCTCAATAAACGCTTAATCTTCTGCGGGAACTTTAAGATTAAAAAAAAAAGAAAAGAAGACAATCCGAGAGCGTTGTCTTTAGCTAGAGTCTTTGCTTTGGTCAGACCACAGCATGTTCCCTCTCGAATCCGTATCAACAGACCTCTTCTCCGCCTGCGGCCTCTCTGCGGCTGCCTCCAGCCTTTTCTTGGCCAAGCCTCCAGCTGTGCCAACCTGTACAAAAGAAAAAAACCCTGTCTCTAGATACTGATCCGCTGTCGCTGGTTCCGCTGCGGCTCGAGACAGCTGCTGCCGTTGGTTCAGAGTCGATGTCTTAGCCGACCTCAGATCTGGACCAACCAGAGGAACTCTGCGAACAGCTCAACAAAGAACTCAAGCTATTAACCGTGGACGTTTACTGGGTTTTTTTTGTTTTGTTTTGTTATTTTTTTCTTAAGAAATACTTGTTTGTGAACTCAATGTATGTTTAGGTATTTTCTTGAAGCATTGCTTAACATTTAAGACAATACTGTACTATTTTTTTTTTTTGTTGTTGTTTTACCTTAACGGAAAGGAGGCGTTTCCCATGGCCCACCTGGTTTGGATCAGGGGTCTCATCTCGTAAGATCGTAGGGTCTCTACTGTACATCAAACCTTCGTGTGCTTTACTTTACGTGGGAGCGAGGCCACAGACTGACCACTTTGGAGAATCCATCTTCTACAACGGAGAAAGTTTAAACCTCAACATTTTCTGTGTTTTCAGCTCGTATTTGTTGTTACACGTAAAGATACATGTAGGGAGTATTTTAGAAAGATGGAGATGTACGTTGATTGAACAATCTGACACCTGCAGTGACTTCAAATCCGGTCTAAACAGTAGGATAAATCCATCTAATGTGAGTTCACCACAATCCAGAGACCGGCTCTTGGATTCCCCCTTTCTGTGTCCTCTGCTCCTCCACCACGCTCCTCCAATCTAACAAAACCAAACTTGATTGTAAAACCTGAAAACGAAGAGGGAAGAAAATGGCATTAAGAGAAACAAACTAAGTGTAAAAACTTTCTTTCAGACGTGCAGAAGTGATAAGTTGAAGAGTAGCTGTCTTGGCTTTTTTATTTTTTATGTTACCTTCTTTCTATGGAGTCCATGAAAGCCGATCAGTTGAGTATTATTACCCTGTACAGTGTTTGTAAGATACAGAATCTAAACACAGAACTACCCCCCGTCTGTGGATGTTGGAATTTTTAACACTGCTTCCCTATCGTCCGTCAAAGATCATGTCCGCCTTCTCATTTTTCCTTCAGTTTTTAAAGGCTTGCGAGAGGTTGGTTTTAGCCATAGCTAAAAAGGCAGCAGTCAGGATTTTAACAAGTAAAAACAAACAAAAATGTTGCAAGGTTAAAGATGGAGTCTGTAAGGGGGATTAATCAACAGTGGCCAAAAAAAAAACAACCTCCTGAGCCTTCCTTTAATACCAACGCTGCCATTTTTGTTTTGTCTTAAGTGGTACATTTTTGGGGCAACAAGCAACACAAATGTCGTACATCTATAATTTCAGAGGAGTGATACTATACGGATTGAAACCGGACTTGACGCAAATTTAAGCAAAGCTTTTCAAAAACAGAGTGGCTTGATTTGCACGGTGTTATGATTTTAGTCGATAGTAGGACGCAGTTACAGAGCATGATTGACTTAATTGTTGCTCCTCTGTTGTGATCCCCATGTGACCCAGTTGTGACGCTAACTTTTGAAGGTTATGAGAGGTTCTTCTGGTCCATGCTTCCTCATGCGTGTCTTGTATTTTTTACATCAGTGTTGCACAGATCAGCATTTAAAACAGACTATGCTGAAAGGAGCCAGATTGTGTCGGACTATGTTTGTGTATTTGTGTGTTTTTGAACGCTAAAATCACCAGTTAGCCTAATTCTACATCTTTCTGTAAAAGACATTGCTTATTCTGCCTTTGGATTTTATTCAGAACAAAGAGAGCAGGCAGTTTCACAAGGATAAGACTGCAGGTTGGTGGTGTGTGGCACATAGTGTGCATGTGTGTGTGTTGGGGGGGAAAGGATGTGGTCTGGTGGTGTCTAATTTAGCGGAGACGGAGTTGGGAAAAGACTTGAACTTGTTTGCATTTGTAGGAAAATTTCAAAGAATATTAGAGCACAGTGCCTCTTGTGTCGTAAAACATGGCAGTGTTACAACCCTGTGGTCCTGCAGTTCTAGGTCAGGGTTAGTCTGGCCAGTGGAAAGGTCATGCAGCTTTAGCTAGCACGTGATATTTTGGTGCGTCCGCTTTGTTACATTTTCAAGGTTTTCATCTAGAAATACTTTTGACTCCTCAGTATCCTAATTTATTACACGTTCCAATAGGATTGCTATGTTTTTGCTGTCCAATCAGAAGCAAAATAAACTGAGAATAGTCTTGTAAAATATGCACAATTTGACATATCATAATCCTATTCTCTGTAAAACAGTGAGAAATCAATTTTTAAAAATGTTTTCATTGTTTTCAACAGTATTTTTGCTACTTTAAACTGATTCAAGCAGTCTTTTGTCCTCTTTCTGCTGTAGTCATTCACAACTACATGGCCAATCGAAACCATCAACTGCGTGAAAAGGCAGAAAAGTTGCATTACACTTCACACATGGCATGTTTAACAAAGACAAGAGTGCATAAGTGCTGTTGAATCTGTTAGATTGCCATCTGGTGATCTGAAAGTAGCAGTCAATAAACAGAAATGAAGTAAGGTACAACCCAATTTTGTATTTTATTCAGGATGTCCCAGTAAATTTGGCAACCCTATCTGCCCCGCAAATAATTACATTGTTTGTAATAGTTAGCATAGCAATTGTTGTCAAATCCCCCTGGTTTTCCAGATTAACTCCCAGACAAATCAAACAAAATTGGGATGTTTGACATCCACTTATTTATTAAGGTGTGCTTACTTTAGCTGGAGAGAGGAGAGAAAAAATGTTGCAAGTTAAAATTGTTGTGAAATTCACATACCTAGCATATTCCACCAGTCAAATTAGCTTGTCTTCAACTAATTTGAAACATCATCAGTCAATGAAGTCCGAAAGGACATATCAACAAAGAATAAGCCAAGATTTTCAGAACATTTCTGTAAAATATAAGTTTTGAGGCTAACGGACAGTTTGTCTATTAGCTTAAAAAGTGGAAACTGCTGTAGCAAAACTCACCATTCAGTATTTCTGTTGCTCATTATTTAAATAAAATGTTTTACTTTGCTTCAACTTTTCTGTTCAAGAAAATGTATAAGCTTTAGAAAGCTTGTGGGCTGATTTTTCTATTGCAAGTTTACCGTTTTTGATTTGTTTTTGGTCTGAAAGCTAACTAAGCTAGCTTCAACTTACGTGTTATTAAAAGGCTTTTTGAAACCATTTAATATGACAAGCAGAAGGGACATAGCTGTAGTAAAATAAATATAGTATGCTCTGTTTGGACAGAAAATAAATCTGATTATAAAAATGTCTAATTACTAATTAAAAATCATTTTAATTTAATGCTTAAAAGAATGATTACACTGTAATGCTAAACAAATTGTGATATTTTACTATAAATACAGCTTAATACCAGAAAGTTGGTTCAATATGTGGTGAAAAAAAGTATATATAATAATTATAACATAGATGTGTGATTGTTTTTTGTTTTTTTAATAAATGGATATGGGGAAGGAGGATAAAACTTGCAGGGGTCTATTAAAGAATAACAAGAGCATGCATATCATACCACTACGCACACTGTTGCCCTAAAAATGTCTGACAAATTTTATTTTTTTACATTCTTATATTTTTTCTCAATCATTCCATCTCTTCCTGGGCTACAATCAAAGACGGCCGGCCTGAATTGCTGATTTTGCCGACAGTTTGTCTGATTGATTAGTTGTTAGTTTGCCTTATAGTGGCGTATATTGTGTTAATGCTGGTTGTGGAGTTATCAGATCAACAGAACGAACAGTCCTAAAGCGGAGCATGTGGCTCACGTTGCCAATTCACAAAGTGAGCTCAACAAAGAAATTCATTTTCGGCCCTAGTGAGGCGAGTCTGAGGCTCTTTGCTGGTGGACTGTCATATCAAGCATCACTCAGTTGGATCGGAGTCCCATCTGAGACTCATCTTTGTGTTCTGATCTCCTGTGTATGCATACAGTATATGTATCCTTTTTGCCTTGATTGATTCTGGAAAAAAAAAATCTATTTTTTGTAACTGTTCTCTGATGTGCCATAACTCATGTTTTCTTGCACACTGTTAATATTTTGTGGATATTGCTGTTAAAAAAACTATTGAGAAGTAGATAACATTAATAAAAAGATGATATAACACAACCTGTCACTGGACTCCATTGTGTTGACAGCTGCTGAAAGTTCCCATTTCACCTATTGAATCCGGCCCATCATGTTTTGTTTTCTTGTTTTATTGTGTCAGCAAAGCATTTTTTTTGTTTAGTTTTTTTTTCCTGCAGACTGCATAGATTTATAAAGCACATGCATACACATGCTCACTAGTTTAATAAGTACATGGTGTGCAGAGCAGAGATGGAATCACAGTGTACCAAGCTTAAATAGCAAGTCTCCCAGCTGGACCTTTGCATTGTGTTCTTAGTCCTCCTTTAATCTCTAGAAGCCCTCGCTCCGCAGTCACAGATTTACTCAAAATTTCAAACCATTCTGCTCCTGTGGGCCACGAGATTTGGGCTGTGGGATAAATCACAGCCTGTTAAAAGTCCGCCGCCGCCCGTTATCCCTCTGAGTAGCAGAGTGTAAACAAACGTGTGGTCCATGTGCCTGGGTGTTCCCCTTCTGGCCGAGTGGTGGACGGACATGTGACAGCACAGGAAGAAGCAGGGAGTAAAGCGGAGGGCACACAATGGAGACACAGTTTGCCACGCAAATGTGCACGCAGCCTTGAATTGCAAGAAGTTAAAAGTATGTAACAAAACAAGAGCAGTCAGAGAAATGATGAAGGATTGACAGCAAGGCTTTTATCTTCTCCTAACTTCCTGTAGGGACAGTCAGTCTGCATCAGCTGGCTTTGCCTGTTTCTTAAAGCGTAGTTTCAGGCTCCACCCTGGTGTTATTCCGGTTGACTTACGTTTACTACAAGACTTTGACCTAGCAAGAGCAAGCATTTTTCCATGACTTCAGTGCCACCGTAAACAGCTGTTGTGTAACTCGGCAGCTTCCGTGATGCACGCTTGACTTTTCTTTTGGATTTTTAGTAGGAGTCTTCTCACCCTATGATGGACTGGCAACCTCTCCATCGTGTGGCCCACCTATTGCCCAATGGCTGCTGGCTGGCTGGCTGGCTGGCTGGCTGGCTGGCTGGCTGGCTGGCTGGATGGATGGATGGATGGATGGATGGATGGATGGATGGATGGATGAAAGGAAATCTTCTCAATGGATCCAATAATTTATTGACTTATTGCACAAAAGAATAGACCAAGAACAAATAATACAAACAATAAATTAAACTTTTCATACTGTTATAAAATAGGCAGCATTTGTAAAGGCACATTACATCATGGTCCTGATCAGATCATTCTGTATCCCCTGAGGTTTGAATTCAGACCAAAAAAAAAAAAAAAAAAAAAAACATCATCAGGTCCTGAGACCTTTTTTTTTTTGCTTGTTTTGTTTTTTTTTTTTTTTTTT